GAAGACAACTGGCTGCCCACTAATCCCCCTTCTGCCCCTATACCTCTTCCTGGTGTTACATCCTTTCCAAGTAAGGTGGCAGATCTTATCAGTGATGAAGCAAGGACTTGGAATAGGGACCTCTTGCAAAGCTTGTTTTCACCCGAATCTGTCCAGGCAATCCTCAGCATTCCTTTGGCGGTAAACTTGACTGCTGATCGACTTATATGGCACTACTCAGCCTCAGGGGAGTACACGGTAAAAACAGGTTATCATGTACTTACTAATGAGTTGAATGCCTGCAATCCCCCTGCTGCCTTGCCTTTTGATTGCAGGTTTTGGAAACTGCTATGGAACTTGCCGGTACCCCCAAAGCTGAAGTTTTTCTTCTGGAGAGTGGTCAGGGGATTTCTTCCTTTGCGAACGGTCCTTCTGTTCAAGAAGCTTGTAGAGTCCACGCTGTGCCCAGTTTGCTCTGACGGCCCTGAAACCTTCTCACATTGCTTCTTTCAATGCCGAGTCGCGCGAGTTCTCTGGGCCATAGCGGGATTTGAACATATCCGCAGCAGACTTGAATTACTTTCACCAGATGATGCTTGGAAAGAACTATTTTTTTCTATGCAATTTTCTAAGCTGCAGATATCGGATATAGTATTCTTGTGCTGGAGGGTGTGGAAAGGGAGGTGTTGGGCTGTTCATGGAGGCATTCAGTATCTCGCCCCAGCACTTCTCCGTCAGTACAAGGCACAGGTGGAGGAATGGAGGGCAGCCACCTCTAGCTCATCGTCTCCTCGCGGGGGCCCTATTACCGGAAACGCCGACCAGCGAGCTACTGCAGCAACGAATTCTGGGGTGCTTTTTTGCAGATCTGGTGTGGAAGTCCAGGGACGCGAGCTGGCCATTACTGTCCGCTTCGATGGGGCAACCAAACGATCCAGTGGGGGGAGCTCGGGATTTGTCGGCTTTGATCGGAATGGTACCCTACTTTTTGCGCTCGGTAAGTTCTATGAAGGAATCCACGATCCGTTCCTGGTGGAGCTTCTGGCCCTACGGGATGCGATGAACTGGTGTCTAACACATGGTTTTTTGCATATCAACTTCTATGGCGATTCTCAATTGGTGGTTCGTCGGTTGCTGGCTGGAGAGCATAACCATGCTACGGGAGGAGCCCTCTTCGAGGATGTTCACAGGCTAGCAAGGGGTTTCGAGTTTTGTTCTTGTTCTTTTGCTTCTCGCAGGTTTAATAGGGCCGCCCATCTTGTGGCAAAACAAGCCCTTTCATCGGAAGTTCGACGATTTGTCGACTTCCGCGCGTGGTTGTTATCTATTCTCTGACTATGTGACTGAACGATTTATCGTTTTGTCTATGTTAAAAAAAAAAAAAAAAAAGTAATTAATAAGATCCTTTTTGCACTGCCCAAATTACCTTTGATTGTCAAACTCACAACCCCTTGAGAGATGTCACCGTATCACATCCCTTAGCCCTATAACTTATCATCAATACAAGGGTTGAGATTACAAAGATAAAACCTACAAATAAAAAATCAAATAAAAGACCTAATGAGAAAATTACATAGAAAACACTCACGAAAAACAAAGATAACGGAGAATGGAGATAAAAATGTGCATCAAAATGTCAGTTTCGTTCTTTCAAATGATTCATGACAAATAGTTAAATGTCCAGGTAAAAAACCTGAGTTTGGGATGTAGACCAATGGCTAATAAGCATCAAGTTGGTGATATATATATCTACAATATTTAATGACCAAAACCCCTATAAATATCTTAATCAACATAAAATATTATTTAGTGAAAAAAAAAAAGAAATTATAGAATATATAAAACTACTAAAAACATCTTTGTTGTTATATAAAAATCATAATTAGGATTTACTATTCATTAAGAGGCTTTTGTAAATAATCCTGACTTTAGGGGTATTATCCTAAGAAGCCACGTATTAGCATAATTTTCATTTCATTTATAATTTTTCTTTCCTTTGCAAGTAAACACATATTTTGCTTTATTTCTCCTTTTCGTTTTTTTTTAATCACATATGAGAATATTTTAATAATATTCTTTATTATTTTTTACTTTGTTTTTTAATTTTTGTTATCCTCAAACTGCATACTTGTTCGTATTTGATCCACATTCATGTGATGTATTTTACATTTCCGAATTCTTATTTATTGATATTTTTTGTAAATTTTCCGTCTATTCAGATAGAAGTCAACCGATCTCGCGTATTAGGATCATTAGCAGTGATGTGTTTTCATTTTCGAATTCTTATAGAGGGAGGTTGACGCTTCGATCAAGAGGCAAATCTCTTTTGTTTGGGCCGGTAGCTAAAAGAAAGTCAGTTCTTATCTTTGAAAGCATAATCGTTCTTAGCTTTGACTTGGCAGTAGGAAAAGTCTAAAGAAAGTCAGTTCTTATCGTCGAAGGCATAACCGTCTTATCGTATTTCAGTCATGTGTGTTTCAATGTTCCATTTCCATTTTTTAATGCTTATCAATTGTTAGTTTTTGTGAATTTTTCAACTATTTAAATAAGTATTTTGTTTTTACATAGAGTCCTATTTTCGAATATGAATGTAACATCTCTACCCTCTTGTGCGTGCTTACATCATAATGACATTATTAGTAACCGATAAAGAAATCGTCCCTTAATTGAAAAAAGTGAGGAAGTATGGTAGTATAACTGTATAAGAATTGTTAAATTAATTTTAGTAATTAGTGAAATTAATTATGTGAATTGGTATGAAAGTCCTCATGGAAGAAGGACTTAATTGGAGAAATTGGGAGTTGGAGGATCAAATGGCAAACAACTTATGTTAGTGTCATTTGTGGGAGTGTGATTGGAGGGAGAGGGAGAAAGAGAGGGTTCTAGAGATTGGAGGGGTGCAAAAAATCTGCACCCTCCCACCATTTGTTCCCATCTCCTTTTAATTTTCTCTCCTTGTTTCTCTCCAACCCACAACCATCTCATCCACCACTATCCTCCATCCTCAAAATCTAAAACCAAGTTAGCAAAGGGCAAGATTGGAGACTAGAGAACAAGAGAAGAAGAGGAGTAACAAAAGGTAAGAATCTTCTTCCTCAAGCTGAGAGCATGAATTACAAAAGGGGATTTGTCGATTTGATGAGGAACAAGGAGCTAGAGCTCCATAAATTATATCCCTAACATAGAGTAATGTTATTTATCAAAGGAAGAAGGTAGGAGGTGTTTAGAACTCAAAGTGGTGAAGTTGACAAAACCGGGTTTGATTCACTAGATGTTGTATAGAAGGAAATAAATGGTTTTAATGGATTGTGTGAGTGTATTTATACTTTATTTATCATGTAAAATCCTCAAATAATCATGGTGTGGAGTTTTGGAATGGATTGGATCAAGGAAGGGTGGTGGTGAAACATGAAGTAGAAAACAGTTTTGAATCTTCAATTAGAATTGAGTACCGAGCTCAAAATTATGGTCAAAATGTTCTGGAATTTGGATATGTTGTAGTTCTATGGATCTAGTTTAAGTAGGAAAAAGAATAAGTCGATTTGATTAAAATTTTGAGGGAGAAATGGCCAAAACTGTGGAAGGGGGTAAGTTGCACATGCTGTGCAAATTGTCACACGGTCGTGCGAAGTTTCCAGGGAGTTTGCACGGCCAAAACCATGAAATGCACGGCCGTGCAACCTCAGGGGCAAGCCAGGCTGTGCATATCCTATTTTTGGCCAAAATTTTGTGTTTTCGTCGAACCATTGAGGAACTTTAACCCGAATATGATTATATAGACTCCCTATATATAATATATCACTTAATGGCTTGCTAATTGTGTAATTAAGGAAAAGAACAAGCCGGGGAGTCTTCAAATGGCAGGGGAATTGCCAAGTAACGACTGGAAAGGGTGAGTAGATTCTAACCCTAAATCTATATCAATACAAATGTGGTATTTGGGTCATCAAGAGACCCTAATACATATCATAGATATAGAGGTACTCGGGTCATGAAGCGCCCCATATATGAAGCATGGACATCGACTAAGTGAATGTGGATGTGAGAGATTATGAGTTGAATCGTAAGTATGATAATTATGTGTTAAATGTGTTTATGATTGTATGATGAATGTGAGTGGCCACTAGAATGATCTAAGTGATTGATTGGTTATGTTAAATATGATATTGATGTAGTAAAATGGTGAAGCCTAAGGGCTTAAAGTTAAATATGATATTGATGTGGTAAAATGGTGAAGCCTAAGGGCTTAAAGACAATAACATGATAAAGTAATAACATCTATGGGCATAAGGATATTGATATAATGAAATGATATGTGATGAATGATGAGTAAAAATGATTTATGTATGACTATGTGATAATATGTATAAAATTTGATAAATGATGATTGTGAATGAGAATTGCAATGTGTATGCGATATGAAATGTCCTAAAAGGCGATGTTATTGTACTGGAAAGCCTACGAGACAATGAGGGGATGATGTATAGTCTGAATGGCTATATGATGATACTGAAAGAGCCTAATTGGTGATACTGTGATACTGAAAAGCATGTAAGGCGGAAATGTGATGATACTGAGATAACCTAATTGGCTATCGTGTGATACTCAAAAGCCTGTAAGGCAGAAATGTGATACTGGCAAGCCTATAAGGCGATGATGTGTTTAAATGAAATGATGAATGTGACGATGTGAATGCTACGATTACGTGAATAGATTTGTGTTAAATTATGGATGATACTGCTTGATACTTGTGATGTGACTAACTAAAGAATTGTTTGATCACCTAAATCAAACGTAAGGGAGCCCTCTCATGCACTCTATGAGATCTGATACTGCGGCTTTATGCCTAGCTCTCTGGGAGAGCGATACCAGGCTTGGTGTACCGATGATGCCTTGCATCTACTGGCGATGCTTCATGCATCTACTGTTACTATACTGGCAATGCCTCGTGCATCTACTGTTATTGTACTGACGATGCCTCGTGCATCTACTAGCGATGCCTTGGGCATCTACTGGATCTACCCTGGGGAGTGCATGACTTCGCAAATTACAGGTTAAAAGAGACTTAATCTGGCTAACTCCATTATGTGTATCGATATATGTACTGGTGTGAATGTGTGATTGATTACTGGATTAGGCATAGGTGCATGTATGAAATGCCTTAGCAAGGTTAATACGGTGTGTATGTGTGCGTGATTGATCATCTAGTAATGTGAATGATATGTTGAATTGTTTACTGGCATGAATGAAAATGAGTGAGCTGATGATGCTTAGCATTGTGTTATGGTTCATGTGATGAGAATTTTGATGAGTATATATGAATGAGTAAATGGTGCCCTAGCACCACCATGTGATTGCTTGCCATTAGAGGTGTGCAAAGTAGCGATATCCTATTATAGATACCGAATAGTGACGTCAGGTACCTTAGCACCGCGATAAGTGAATAGTGAAGTGATTGCTACTGAATGGTTAAAGAGATAGTTCTTCTATTGATGATCGAAATTATAATATTGGATACTGAATTTTTATAAATGGAATTATAAGCATCATGAGTGAGTAAATGACGTGTAATTAGATGGTACCATGCTAAATACCGTGTGTGTATTGTTGTTTATTTATGTTTAGAATTTACTCACTAAGTGACGACTCACCCTTCGTCAAATATTTTTCCCCAGATCGAGAGCAGCTGCAAGAAGTGGTAGAAGTAGAAGCATTAGCTTCAACCTCCAAGTTTTGATTCATGAGGTGGGCGGAAGGCTGCACATGTTTCCACATCGAATCTATTGTCAAACTGTTTAACTTTTTGTACTTTGATTTGCAAAGTTTTTAAATTGGCCCCGAAAACCTTTTATAAGTTTTATGCATTTAATGTAAAAGCGAGTGTTTAGATAGGATGTTACAATGAAGGCTAATTGGCCACTAAGTCCAATTTATTCTCATAGACTCGTAGCTTAGAAGTGTAGTATTTTACTGGAAGTTTGAACAAGTACTTTCAATAAGGTGTTATATGTGGTTGAACATACACTTCGTTGAATCGATATTAGGTTATATTGTTTCATTTATCATTCACACAATTGAAAATTTTATTGTGTGAGTTTTTTTTTTGTATTATTTCGTATTTACAAAAATACAAATTTTAATAAAATAAGAATTGAATATTCGTGTGGAGCACCAACTTTCAGCCTAGATAGTATATAAAAGCCTCGATTCAGGGTTTACTATTCACTAAGTGGGGTTTTTGTAATAACCATAAACTTCAGTGGCAATTCCATTTGGTCTTAGAAAACTCCATCTCTCTGGTTTAGTGACAATTTCCCCACCACCTCTTTAATTGTTGACTAATGTTTTGACAACTCAGAGGAGATCAAGGAATTCACAAACGCCTATCGACCACACGTATTCGAATTAAGTGTTTTATGGCGATGCATTTTAAAATTTTGAGTTCTTATAGATTAACAATCTTTGTGCGTTATCTGACTATTGAACTCAATGTCGACTAATCACACATATTCCTACGATGCATTTCTGTTTTAGAATCTTATCAATTTTTGAATTCTTATAGATTAACAACCTTTGTGAGTTTCCGCCTATTCAACTCAAGGTTGACTGATTACACGTATTTTGATCATGCACATTCTGAGAATGCATTTCCGTTTTATAATCTTATCAATGGACAATCTTTGGGAGTTTCCTATTCTTTTTTCTCTTTTTTTTTTTTTTTTGCGTAGAGTTCAATTTTGGCATGAGATCTCATTGTCCATCGAGTCCAATTTATAGTCGTAGCTTAGATGAATATTGTATTGTTTTAACTAGTCACGGGCCCGGCCGGTTGGCCGGATTCATTCGCCAATTGCATAAATAGCAGTAGCAATTTTTATCTGAGATTCATGCTTTTTTGTTAGTATAAGAAAATCTAGATCTTTTAAATTATCGAACATTCAAATATTTTGGTAGCATAAAAGAATCAAAATTATTAAAAATACTTCAATCGTTCAAAAGGATCAACATCATAGTATTTTGGGACATCCTAACCAACTCATCATAAATACCATTTGTCTTCCCAAAAGTAATTTGTGTAAAAAGGATCAAAATTTGCTTGTGCTTGACTTTTGTTAATTGTTATAGCAAACAAACTGCAATAGGATATTGTCTGCTAACCAATATGAAATCCAGACTTTTGTAATGAGAAGACAATTTAATCAGAGGTAGAAAGATCCTATCACCAATATGAGTATCTATTAGAATCTTCACTTCAATAAACCATGTGCCAAGTCTCTTGATTATCATCCTTGCACCATTGCAGAGACCTATACTTTGATCCATATTTCTTAATAAAATGACGGGGCATCCAACTTTCAACCTAATACAATTATAAAAAAAAAATTCAACCTAATAAAATGGTATGGTAAATTAATTATCTTCAATGTATTGAGAAACTCCACTGACAGGGTAATATCAATTGAATCTGATCTCTTATAACAAACTTCATCTCTTGAAACCCTTTTCATCACACAATTATTAATTTTTCGATACCTTTTCATGATGTGGAGCCAATATAGCACGGTGAACCACAAAGGTTCCTTCACTGCAATTCGAATGGAGATCGTTGTAGACATGATTCAAATATCAGCAATTTCATCTCCTTTCTCATGTTGATTTCTCAAAGAAGTTCGAATTGAGATCATTGACTCCCCAAAAACATTGGACCCCACTTCATCACCAATCTGCAAAATCCATCTGTTGAATTCTTCAATCTGAATAGATTCTTTAGGGGCACAATTTTTGGGGCACAATCTTATATTTTGAGAGAGCTTCAAAACTTTCAATGAAGGTCATAAGTACGACCTCTTGATAGAAGAATTTGAAATATCTACTTGGATTCCCTTCCCAATTACTATTAATATTTGCTGAAAATCTCCGCCGAACACAACAGACGTTCCTCTAAAGGTCATGTCCTCGCTGTTTGGATGTTTCACATGCAAAATATCTCTAAGAGTTCTATCCTCTGCTTCAATATTATGATTATGAACCATAGGAGCTTCATCCCAAATAATAATAGAAGCATTAGGAATCAACTCTGCTAACTCACACCTTTGTTCAATATGACATGTTGATTTTGAGTCACAGTCAATTGAAACATAGAATTGAGATGAGTAGTTCTAACTCCAACAATTAGTATAGGTGCAATACCAGAAGAAGCTATGCACGTTGGCCATAGTTTCAAACAAATCACTTTCTAAAATAAATGTCTTCTCTATACTCGCAAATCCATCAACAAATAAGCAGTTCCCATTTTGTTCATCCATAGCTTGAATAATTGCATTAAATGGCTTCATATGCTCTGAATTCAATCTTGGATACAATGTACTGAACTCCTTCAATAAATCTTCTTCATTGTAATTTAACTCCTCAACTATCATTCCATTTCCTGAATTTGACCTCATGGCTCCTTATGGAGTAGGCAAACCTTAGAAATAGGCCAGAGACTTCCAATATTTCTTCAATAATTTATCTATTTCCACCAAGCATTTATCTTTTATCTCATCAATATAAAGTTGCAAGTTAGAAAAATTTGTCTCCCTTTACGATTAAATAGGATGTCATCGCTCAATAATTCTCGAATCCCCCCCCCCCACAAAGATTGCACATCAGATCCTTTGCCACTGAATGAAAATTGTGAAAAACAAATTCCTTACTTTATATTTAGAATTCCAAAAGGCAAGTTCTTTCATATAGTCACTCCACTCATCATCATCTTCCAATAACCGAAGGGCATACATGCTCTTTGGAAGGAATCATGAACAACATCATTTAAATGTTCTAATATCTTCATAAGAACGACAACCTCTGAATAAATGCAACAACATGTGAAAATAAAATCTTTTTTTGCCTTATGGAGAACAATAATATAATCTTCCAAAACAAACCTTGTTCTTCCTAATATGCCACCTTTTCAACTTCTTATTACAGACAAATTATTAAAGAAACTCCACAGATGTATATTTTTGTGCCTAAAAAGAATGAGCATTGATTTCCACCCTTGCCAAGCGCATTGATGTTTCATTTTTTACAATAGTTTTTTCAACTTTTCATTCTTCTTTGTAACTACTTTATTCTTTTCAGACAAATGACACCACATACGCAGTCCATTGAATTTGGTAAATATATTAAATAACAATACTTATTATAGAAAGCAAAATATATTTTTATTTGATCAAATAAATAACCCAAATTATTCGATTGCTGAAAAACTCAAACTTTGTAATTGAAAGTAAAAAAATCAAAACCTTAAAATGAACCAATTCGTAAATCACACTTCAATTTATTTCTCACTGTCAAAATTTACATACTTATATAGATACTACATGTATGTGATGAAGTTTAAATCACATGTTTTCCTGCTAATATAGGTGTTTGAATCACCTCTCAAATAAGAATCCAAAAGACCTTGGTATCAATGTTGTTACAATTTTCCACACAATATCAATGAGTCAGATTGTTGCAGTCTGGTTTGAAGTCTAGAATTGTAAAAAATCACATTGAGTCACATTCTTCTTATTGAGTTCATCAACATCCTCACTGTGAGAATATAGGATATTTAATTGTCAACCATCCTCACTATGTGGGAATAATATGGGATATTGTAAAGCCATTGAACTTAGATGATACATACTAATTTGTTCCAGTTCATGAATTTAATAGTGGACAATAATATCAGGAGAAAATGTTTGCTCCACAGCATTATCAACAATTAAAGCAAAAACCTCATTTGCATATGGAAAATCACATTCTCTACCATCTGCTTCTCTTTTTACCAAGCAACTTAATTTCAACTTGTTAAACAGTAGTGTCATTCAATTTGTAGTTTGTAGATCGATATATCTTGACTAAGATATTCCTCGAGTCTAACATTTGTTTCAATTGTTGAATAGTTGAATCACGCAAAAGGATTTGAAATTGGATCTTTAGAGAAAATACCCCATTATTTATAGATTGGTCCAATTTATCTCTACCTCCAATCGACTAAACATATACTTCTTGTCTATAATTTATAGATTGGTCCAATTTATCTCTAATAAAATTTATTGCAAATACCCCATTATAAGAGCTTAGTTATCTGAGCACCCAACACCATCATCTACATGATTTCCATCATTGAATCGATCTTTTAACAAATTTTCCGAGATTTAAATAGGAAGCTTTGGTGGATATCTTTGTGTGAAAGAAGTAGCAAGTATGAGCACCAATTAAGAATCATGCAACTACTTTTTTGTTTTTGGCATCGTTAATTGGGAATTATCCATTCAAATTGTGGAGTGAGAACCTTTCTTTTGTCATAGTGAGTTCATTGTGAAAGTTGGAGTGAATCTGAAATTAAAGAATGGGTGAGCCTTGAACTTGAAGTATAGGAAGAAGTCCTCTATACAAATTCAGGTTGATTGTTGAGAGAAAGAATTATTCGAAGGGGATTGATTGATGAAAGATTAATTAGTTGTTATTATTATTGAGGGTAATGAATATATATTTTTTATATTTTTAACCATCAAAGTATTATTTCTCCCAAACCCTAATTTTGTATTACGTCTCCTCGAAATTTTTAATCAATTTTCTTGATATTCCTCTTAGTTCTCCTAGTCTCTATCCCGTCTAATACTTCCTTTTTTCCTAGTCTCTCTCCTTAATTTGGCTAATTCTCCTTGAATTGTATCTTTCTATTAATTAAAATCGGGAGCGAAGATCCTCTCCTCATCAAGTTCACTAACTCCGACATTATCAAACTCTTTTGATTTTCTTGAATTTATTGAAAGAAAATAAAATTAATTGTAAATGTTTGATCATTTTGACAAAGTACAGTGGCATGTTTGATGTAAAAAATAGTAGAATGGCATATTTG